CTTTGTTATCTAAGCAATCTCCGTCTCTTTCTATATGCCCTTTTGCTTCTTTTCGACTTCTCACTCAACCTGCTCTCTCCGTGTTTTTCCTCACTTGGATTAACCTTGTCCCCTTACTGGTGCTGGGATGGAAGGGGAGGAAAGATAGAAGTTGGTATTCTGAGACAATATTAATATGCTGCACAGTGACACGGAATCTGGGAAAATGTGTGACGACACACGCAGTTGTGGAAGTGCAAGTTTCAGTGTGCCGGCTTCACGTGTATGTTTGTGGCTCCTTCCGTGTTGCAGGGACTCGGGGGTCTTGACCACGTTCTAGCCTTTCTGCACCACAGTTTCACCTCACACAGGACTCGAAGAATAACAGAATTTCAGTGTTTCGAGTGGAGTCCTTGCCATCTATCTCTTTAATAACTTAGAAAATGAACTTGGAAACTGCCATACACATTCATTCAGCGATGGAGAAGGGGTGATGTAAACTACGTCACATGTAGCTCCTCAGTGGATGTTGACATCCATGAAGTGAGACATTGATGACTCCAAAACGCCTTGGAACATGCTTATATCATATGAAAACATCTGAAGGCAGATTTGATGATTATAACTTTTAACAAAACTAAAAATCGAATGCCTGTATGTTGCAAAAATCTGTTTTACAGAGCGTGACTTTTTATTCTTATTTTCCCCAATGTCCAGTACCATGTGTATTACTCTTCTGATGATAAGCATTGTCCCAAGTAGACATAACCAGGGCCCACGCCGACGCCGCACCCAGCAGCGCGCCTCTGCTTCTGGCCCTGTCGACGACCTCCCCCCACAACAAACCCTCTGTTGTTCCCAGTTTGGATTTTAAGCTTTTGTTTCTACTAAAAGAAGTCAATTTACACTTTCAAAAGCGCAAGTAAAAAAGGTGCACACTTCATTCGTCTGTATAAAAATAGCTTTGACATGCAATGGTGTGATCTCCAAATAGCTGGAAAGACACGGGGAGGGGAGCGAGATGTTTGCTTTTCAAGTCCGGTGTACAGACACTGCTTCTCGCAGGAAATACTCTCCTTCTTCAGTTATAAGAATTGCCTTTTGTTTTTTCAAAGGGTGCTTTATAAGAATTTCTGATTAATGTGTGGTTAAACTTAGGTCATCCATTACTTGGGAGCACATTCAAGGACTTTGAAAGTCTTTTCAAGAAATTATGAAATAAGTTCTGATTCAAATTGTTTCCAACAAAAACAATAGATTAAAAACATTATTGCATATTGCCTGACTCACTGAAAAGATATACTCTGGGGTAACCTTGAAAACTTGCTTCTTTACCAGAATCTAAATATAGCATGATTTAATCACCTGGATTCTGTTTGAAATATGCAAATTTACCAATTCATCTTTTTTCCACAAGAAATGAGAAACATATATTTTAGAAAGAAAAAGTTATTGATGTTAGATTTAGAAAAATCTCACCTTTGTCAATATTTATTATAGTCCATTTAATTATGTGATGTAATTGTGGGATTTTTTATTTTTGAATTTGTGTACACTCCTCTATTTCTCCTAGACCAAAAAAAAAAAGCAAAACAATAAACAAATGTCATTTCCATATAATTATAGAATTTCTGAAAATTCAGTTACATGGAATGTGTCTCAAGTTCATTTATCCAATTGAAGGCTAGAATGTATACTAGTATGGCAGATTTGATATCAAAAGATGAACATACAAAATTACTTCTATAAAATGTAACCATCATAAATATTAGATAATATCCTTTGATTTGTCAGATATATACAAAGTTGGGCACAACTTGAATATCAAATAAGGATTCAACCATTAGCCCATGGTTTCCCAGAATAGCATTCTTAGACATATAGGGTTTTACTTAAACTAACAAATATATATTCTTCACAATAAAACTATAAAACCATCATAGATTGGTTTGCTATAAAGTTTGCTGCTTATTGGAATTAGCTTTAATGCTACAGTAATAAATATCACACTGCAAATAAATGTAGCATGTTTAACACACTATTCATGAAAACATAAGTACCATTCTTTTGCATGTTAATATGAAGTTGTCATTTTGTAGGCCAGTAAGTGCTTGGGTATTGGCAATATTGTATGGTTCAATGCAGTATTATCATTAGCTGAGAGATGCACTAGAGTATTCTCGTGGAATAATGTGCTAACATGGTGTGACCTGCAAGAAGTTGTTTGCTCCCTTGCTGGGTTATCAGTGGTCCCAGAAATATTATCCCATGCATTGGACTCATGGGAATATTTTAATGATTGTCAGTAATTGCCTTGCATTCCAAGGCTGTGCTAATTTCATATGATTATAAACAAGAGTCTTATCAATGTTTGGTGTTAAAGCTGGTTGTAGTTCCAGAAGTCCAGATGACATTCTTATAATTCAAGAATGCACAAATTCATAGTAGAATGCTGTGAACTTTGATTCTAAAGCCATCATTGTCATGGAAACTAACTCGTAATTTTGTGAGTAATTACCTTTATCATCTCTATGAGTATAAGCCTCTTAGTGCTCTAGTTCCTAAGTATTGACTTATACTCTTGACTAAAATAATATATTCAATTTTCTTTCCTTATGCACATTCTATTATTGACTATAAACTAACTGAAGAGCAAAATTGAGTGTGAATCCAAACAGTATTTCTATTGTAGATTTCTACTTCTTTAATCCTTCAGATAATAATAATAATGTGTTAGAATTAAGTGCATAGGACCCAACATTCACTTCACCCTATTCTAAAAAATTCAAGTTATTCATCAGTTGTCAACATGACTTGATTGTTTACAGAAGTCACCTTTAATGGGAAAGTGAATTGTTATTACTGACGAAGTGACTGTTATGAAGGGCATATACAGAAACAGTTCTCATGAAGGTATTGTTAAATGATCTGTGGGCCTGAATTGATGTTGACATTGCAGACTCTCAGATCTATGACAGTGCACTTGCCAAGGCCATTCAATTTCCTGTGGTTGTTGACCAAGAGAACTTGTACACAAACATAAAATAAATGCACAAGAATATTCCAGCAAAAGGACCTCATGGTGGACTCATTCGCCTAGTGATTTGACATATTCCCAGTGCCATCTCCAGCTTCTGTTGCAATAATCACAGCTCTGTGATAACGATTTACAACCCACACATTGCAGACATAACTGTTTATAAGTCTCCATTTGCTTCTTTTGCGTTTACATAATTTGTGGATCTTATCCACATGTCTGGGGAATGTTGCACCTCATCATTGACAAGCAAAAGAACAGGCTAAAAAGTGGTGGTGCTGGTCAGAAAGTCTAGATTGAGTCAGTTGTTGGAGGAATTAGCTTGCTTCCAGTCAATAAAAAAAGTAATTTTACTTAATGGGGTGAAGTCTAAAGATGTGCCTTGTCTTTTCTCATCTATATCTCCCATGTTTTTACTTCTCTTGCTTCCCCATTGCCTAACATGAAAAGCAACTGATCATTTTTTTAAATAAATGAATGGGTTGAAGAAATGTCTGTGACTCATAAAAATATACTTTGGATGCAGTTATCATCTATCTAAACCCCTCCGTCTCCTTCCTTGATCTTGACTGGAAGCATCAGTTTTTCCTGGGAGTTACAAGTTAGAATGTGTGTATTCTTATCTTAAGATGTATCCAAAGACATTTTAAGATTTTTAAGTTTTCCTGGCTGGTGTGGCTCAGTGGATTGAGTGCCAGCCTGTGAACCAAAGGGTCGCTGGTTCAATTCCCAGTCAGGGCACACGCCTGGGTTTCAGTCCTGGTCCACGACTGAGGACATGCAAGAGTCAACCACACATTGATGTTCCTCTCTCTCTTTTTCTCCCTCCCTTCTAATCTCTGTTAGAATAAATAAATAAAATCTTTAAAAAATTTTTAAGTTTTAATTATCTGTCTTTTTAATTTATTTGTGCTCATAATTATTTAATTAAATAATTTTTCCATTTGACAGTAACTTCTTAAGTGGTGCCTCTATTATTCGCATGGTACAGTTTTTGTCCTTCACCAGTAAACCATGTGATCTTAAACAACTCACTTTACCTCTTTGATCTTTAGTTTCTTTGCCTATCCAAAGAAGTGTCTTCCCATTTTTACACCTGCAAATTAAGTGATAAGGATTTCTAAAACTCTCTTTGCAAATTAAATGTCTTATTCGGACTATCTCTGTCTCGTTTTCCCTGCACATTTTCTCCCAACAGATTCTCCTCTACTTCCTGTTCTTTGGAGCGCCCCGCCCCCACCCCCCAACCCCTGATGATTGAGGAGGGATTACAATGTCTTCCTCTTTCTGTCCCTGGGGGCTACTCAAGGCAGCATCCAGAGCCTAGTGTCCCTTTGTGAACATTGCTGACTGATTGTCACCTGTGGTCTTTGGTGATCCTCATGATCATAGAATTTGAAAAAATCTGTATGCATTCTAAGAATCTAGGTATAAATGGACCGACTTAAGTTTGATAGTAAATTGTTGTTGCCTTTTTTTTTCTTACATCTTAGCCTGTTTTGTTGGACTTTACTGATAATGCACTCTCTGCAGTTACTCACAGGCCAGGCTTGGCTACATATGTTTAACATGCAAAGTGATTAGGACTTTGGAAATACTTGTGGGGTTTTTTCTTTGGTAAAAGTATTGGTTATTTAAATTACAGTTTGCCATCTGATATTTTAATTCTGTGTTTACTAAAAATACATTGCTACATTTAGTCATGAATGCAAATAAATCACTACATGTGTTAACGGATGACAATATCAATGCATATTGATACAACATGATAAGCTTCCTGCAGATCCAGTCATTTAATATCAAATATAATTCAATTAATACAGTCTTTAGCGTAAAGTTGTAATCTATATTGTATACTTTAAATGGGAAATGATACCTTACAATGGAATCTGTTTGTCTAATGAGTCATCTGGGGTGGCATATCTGCTGTTTGATGCCTTTGTGTGATTCATGTGTACTGATGAATTTCTTTTTAAACTTGCAGCAAATAGTGGCAGCAATAAATGCAGGGATTATACCATTAGGAAACACCTCCAATCAAATCAGTCACTGGGACTTGGGAAGTTCCTTCTTCTTTGCTGGCACTGTTATTACAACTATAGGTAGGAGACAACTTATTTTGTTTTTTTAATTTTGGTACAGCTTGTGAGCTAAAATTCATTTGTTTGCTTTTTTTGTTTTTACAGTCAGTCAACATGGCCTATGTATGGTAGAACACTAGATTTTAGTAAATTGATTTTGGGAAGAGGGTTTAGAGGTCTGAACAAAGGAACGATGAAGATAAAGGAGTTATTGTTTCTGAATAGTGAGCTGAGTTTACAATGCATCTGAAACTCCAGAGCAGTGCAGTTGCCCTTTGACTAATGGATAGGAACTTCATGAAACGGTTTAAATTATAATTGGGGGGTCAAGTAGTTTTGAATTTTCCCGCATCTCTGATTCTTTGTCTGTAGAAAGAAAGGATCGGAGTCCAATTTTGATGTCTTTTTTTCATTGTTTGGTATCAACTTTTTCAACTTATAAATTTTAACTCTACAGTATTTCCCAGATTATTCCCATTCTTCCATGCCTGTCCATGATAATTACTTCAGGGCTTTCTTTTTATACATTATGTGTTTTCAATAGCATATGTATACTAAAAAAATTAACACTGAACTATGGGGATTACAAAAGAATTAAAGTTTAAAAGCCTTGCTCTTTTGCCTTTTAATCATGTTGTTTGTTATAGTGTTAAAAGGGTGCACAGTGGTGCGCAGTCTCTTTGGGGGCCTGAGCATGCGTACACTCAGCACCTTCTGGGCAGCAGAACGGGTACACGTGGGTGACTTCTCTTCTGTTGGTCACTCAGTGCCCAAGGAATACCCAGAGGATATCAGTGCAGACCCCGTAGATCAGCCACATTTGCCATGCTGTGGGGACCAGGACGAGTTCTAGCTGTCTCGTTTAATGGAAAGAGGTCAGGTTCAAGCATAGTTTTTAAGAGAGGGAAGGAAATTGGCTCGTCACAGTTATGAAGGAATTTTAAGAATGATTGAGCAAAACCGAGTTCTGCCCTTCCCTATATGCTCGTGAGGAGATGTCCTCTCTGAAACCTGATCTATGATTTTGGGGTATGAATTAAGAGTCTAAAAATTTTGATTTTATTCTTTGATGCCAGGGACAAATGACAACTGAAGTGTAAAAGGTTTTCATATCGGGACTTTATATCGAAGTCCTAAATAAGAAAACATGGGCAATTTATGGATGAACTCTTGCTTAAGATTTTCCTCAGAGGAATTTGTAGTGACCTGTCATTATGCGAATCCACTGTAATACCTTGTGCTGGATCACTTGTCGGTGAAATAAATACCTTAGCACGTTGATTTTTGCCTTCGTTACGAGGTCAAGGAGCTGTGTTTACTCTTACATTTTCATTAGCTAGGTCAAAAAGTTGTGTGGCTGTGAAAATCTGGAAGAAGGGCGACCTTGATTTCTAACCATAATGACAGGTTAACTTTGGAACTTAGACATCGTGGCCATTTCTACTATGGAAATGACTGTTTATCGTGGAAGCTACTTAGAGTCTGGAAGGAAAAAAAGTGCACAGGCTGAGTGAGAATGGTTTGTTTCTGCCCAATGAAAACTCAAAAGGCCAAGTTAGAACTCATCATGACCACCACTAAATTATTGCACAAGAGACTTAGTCATTATACAGACTTATTGTTGCATTGCATGTTTATAAACAGTCTCATTTTTCGAATCCCAAGTTCAGTGAGTTTTGCAGACGTATCCTTTCAACACATGAAAAAATAAACCATTATTACCAGCCTTACCTCAAATTATAGCCATTAAGCACAGTAACTGATTATTTAGGTTGGTTAGGTAGCTGCCCAACAGCCCAGATTGCCTACTGTTCTATCTCGGGCTTTAGTCTTAGGTGGATTAAGTTATTCTAGGTCATCCAAATTTATTTCCCAATCTTTTACTCCTAGGTCAAGGCTACCTCCTCTGACCTTGGACTAGATTATGGTCTAGGGCTGGGTAAACATTTTGACCTCTTTCATAGGTGTGCATTTGATATCCAAATCATTATTCAATAAAACTTATAGCGTAATTACTAATACTGCTAATGATAATACTTGTGTGAGCCTTGAAGCAGTTTTTAGCAATCATAGGAACTGTAACCTCTAGCATTACCTGCATTGTCTTAGTTATTTAAAAAGGAGGACTTGAGACAGTTTGGGAGAATAAACTGCAGTGGGTTTTCTAAGGTGCCTGGTACAGGCGGTGCTTCATGGAGCTGCACTGGCTGCAGTTACCCCAGGTCTTTGTATTCAGTGTTATTGATTTGCCTAAGAAGCCAAAGTGACCCTTGCTGTTCAATGGAAATATGGCCAAGAGAAGTTCAACTACACAAAATGGAATATTAACATTTAAGGACTAATTTTAGAGAGTCTCTTCATACGCCTACACACACTTTCCAAAATCATACCCTTGCATACCCTTCACAAATTCCATTCCACGGTTGTACAGACTAAAGTTCATTTTCGACTCTTCTCTCTCATACTTCACTTTCAGTCAATTCTGTCGGCTCTGCCTTTAAAGGTGATCCATAATGTCACTGCTGCTCACCATTCAAACTGCCACCATTTTGGTCCAAGACAGCATCATCTCAATGTCAGCATCCTTGTAGGAAGGAACCTCTGCTCAGAACCTTCTGTGGTTTCCAACTCAGTTGGAGCAAAACCCATCCTTCATTGCCTCTCTCACCATAGAGACATGTTCCCTGAGGTTAAGGGATTTTTAAGGGTTTGAATCTTTTCTGTATTCCCAGTGTCTGACAGAGTGGGTGCTTAGTAATTATTTTTTGGAGTTAAAAACAAATAGGCATTCTAAACAGTATGAACTGTGGCTTATTAGAAATGACATAATGCTAAAATGTTGTCTAGTATACTAAAGTCCTAGCTCTTTCAATAGGCTTCGTTACTAACTTTTTTTGTTTGTTCATTTGTTGATTCCACAAATAAAAAAACTATCCCTCTACTACTGTGATGATGAAAGATAAATTACTTGAGCTTACACTGTACACAGACAGGCCAAAGGACCAGTGGGCCAAAAAGCATGTACCATGCAGTGTCAGTTATACTGAAGAGCATTTAATGGGAATGGATAGGAGTGATGCCTTACATAGATATTGGGGTAGGTAGGTGGGTAAGAGAGGAGCAAGGAATACTTCCCTGTCCTTAGTAAATGTCCCAATTGAGACTAGAAAGGCAATAAGGAACTTTCCAGGTGAATGAATAAAGGTGGAAAAGGAACCGTTGAGGCATTGGGAGTTCATGTGGTTAAGATCAGGGGTCAGAGACAATATGTTCCATTCGGGAATTGCAGGTTACCTAGAGCTACTGTTTGTTGTTGAAGGGTTCCTGCCCCAGGCCAGGTAAATCAGTGAGTCCGTGTCAGTACCTGCTGTTGGATCAGTGCTACTTCTACCGCTGCCAGGGGTGGAAAGAGGAAAGGACCCGGTCCCTGCCTGCAGTCCACTTAGTGAGATAAAATTTACATGTATGAAGTAGTTGAAGAATAACAGAAACAGGTATAATCCCACGTTATATGGAACCATGGACTGAGGGCCATGAGAACCGAGACCAAGGAAAGACCACGTGGGCTGGAACTGGGAGGAAAGGCTTAATGAGAGAAGTTGAATGTGAACTGTGCTTTGAAGAAAAAGTTTTGGTTTCGATTGATGAAGGGGAAAGAGCCTCCCAGTCTGTGACCTGGCTAACCAAAAATGCAAAGAGAGGAATGAACTTGATTTATGTTGACGATAAAAAAAGTAAGTATTTGAGTATGCCAGAGGAATTGTTTAAAGGAATAGTGGAAATATTATTGACTGACTCTGATGGGAAGGGTACAGTTGAATATAATTTGAGTTTTGTGAATTTTGGGATCACTCTAAGACAGAACATGCATTTTTTTTTCTTTTTTGGCAAGTGAAGGGACAGGGTAAAAGTGACATTAAAAGGTCTATCTGTCAGGAAGGGGCTTCACGGAGACTGACAACTAAGAGGCAATTAGGAGGCATTTCAGTGACCCATGGAAGGAGCACGAGAGTACTGACTGCAGTGATTGGAGCTGCTGTGAATGAGAAGAGTAAGACACAGAGTGCAGATAATTAGATGCAGGGATCATCCGGCCTTGGTGACGACTACCGTGGAGAGAGAAGAGCCGAAGTGTTGACTATTGAGTTGTGTATTTAGACAGAAAACTTGCAATTCATAGAGAGAAGTAGTCAGTCCTGTGAAGAAAAAGAAGGAAAAAAATGACCAAAATTTTATGTTGTATTATATGTGGAAGTTTCATTTTAGGAGCTCTTCACCTCAGTTTTTATTTGTATGTTTTTGAATTCAGACAGATTAGGAATACAGGTGGGCAGGCTACCTCTTGGGGCTCACATTGAGGTTGAAGAGACTAACAGTTATTGTAATCAACAATCAATTATTGTAATCAATTATTATCATCAATAATTGATTGTTATTGTTTAATTATTGACACATTAAAAACACATGACCATTATCAATGGCCATACATACTACACAAGAAGTTCATGTGCAGCGATAGTGAGCAGACTGTGGGGCTGGGTAGGTGGTGGGAGGTGTTCTAGAGGAGACTGATTCAAGACCTCTGAGCAGGTGACATTGAAGCTGAAACCTGGAGAATGGAAAGAAAGCAACTAGGTGAAGAAGAGTGCGTGCCAAACAAGTTCAGGCAAAGGGGTCAGCAATGGCAAAGACCCAGGAAAGGGCAGATCTGGGCATGTTCAAGGAATATGGGTGGGTCCATGTGGCGGAGCCTAGAAGAAGCAAGGTTGGCAAGATTACTGTATTTTACCATTTATAGTGCTCACTTTTCTAGCTCAAGTTTTTGAGGGAGAAATAAGGATGTGTGTTATACAGGGGTATAATGATTACATACCTTAGGTATAATGGGCATAATAGTCCCGTGTGTAATGCACACAAAAATGTTAGTGCTCGTTATACACAGCAAAGTGTGGTAACAACAGCCAGAGCATGCAAGACCTGGTAGGTCAAGGCAACACTCCTAATTCAGGGGGAAGTCATGA